CCGTTCCCAGACCCACCGAGAGGAGAGGGGACATCAGGCACACAGCAGCGACACACGTGTGACAACCCGGCGTTTATTGCACAGCCCCGAACCGGGGGAAACCGCGACGCCCCCCCTCGGTGCGGAGCAGCACCGCAGGGAGCAGCGTTCGATCGTGGGCTGACAGCAGCCACGGAACCACGGCGTGTCCAGGGGGTGACGCCTCGGGGGGGTCACCGCGTCCACAAGGTGACGATCGGAGCCGCTGCCCCACGGGTGGCAGCTCTGCGTCCCACAGCACACGGGGGCTCCGTGCCAGCGCCGTCCCGGTGCCCCAGGTGCCTTCAGATGGATTCGATTTGTTTGCGCACCTTTTCCAGCGCCCTCCGATCCAACGCCCGCTGCCTCCAAACCACCAACACGGCGCAGACGGCGGCCAAACACATCATGGAGCCCACGAAACGCCAGAAGATCCGCGCCTCCATCACGGCCGAGCGGCAGCTGAACGGCCGCAGTCACAAAGTGCCACTGCTGCGCCCAGGGAGCGGAGATTTGGGGGTTCGGAGCCCCCCCCCCCCCCCCCCCCCCCCCACCCCCCCCCCCCCCCCCCCCGCGGATTCGTCCCCCTGGGGGGCGGCGCAGCTGAGCTTCTCCACGAAGCCCGTGGGGCCGCATTCCGGGATGCTTTTCTGTGAGGGGGGCAGCGGGGGGGGGGGGGAGGGCAGCGCGGGGCCTGGAGCGAGGGCACGGCTGGGCTGGGAGCAACGGGACCGGGGGGGATCAGGGATGGGGCTGCGGGGTCAGGGATCGGGGACTTGACAGGAATCGGGGGGTCAGGGCCTGGGCTGTCGGGGACCGCGGCCCCCCCGCACTCACCACCTCGAAGCTGGAGCAGCTGCCGCACTCCCGCGCCACCACGAACTCCTCCCGCCTCCAGCACGGCGTTGCGGGGCTCGCTGCGGGCACCGGGCCGGGGTCAGCGGATACCCGCGTACGGCCGGGACCCCCGAACAACCCCCCCTCTCTCCGGACCCCCGTCTCACACTCACCGGAGCGCCGCTCCTCGCTCGCCGCCATCGCCGCCACCGCCGTCACGGGCCTGCGGAGAGAGCGCTCGGCCTCGCACCGGCACCGGGCCTCGCGGCGGGCCCCAGCCCAGGCCCCGGCCCGACCCCGCTGCTCACCGTAGCCCAGCGCCCAGCAGCGCGCACAGCGCCCAGAGCAGAGCGTACGGCACGCGGCAGCGCGGCCCGGCCCCGCACCGGGACCGCATGGCGCCCCGCAGTCACCGCGCGGGGCTCCGAGCGCGGAACGACGCCGCCATCGCCGTCCTCACGAGGGCTTCCGGGAGCGGGGGCGGGGCTTCCAGGCGCGGAGGCGCGACTTCCGGGAATGGGGAGAGCGACTTCCGGTGTGCGCGTGGCTCGTAGCAAAGGGGCGCGGCTTAAGGTTCTTTCCCAACACGGCCGCCGCCGCCGCCCTCCCCAAGATGGCGCCGCTCCCACTTCCGCCCGTGCGGGGAACCCCGCAGCGGATATAGCACCGCCCGTTTCCGGTCCTGCCCCTTTTCGGTCGCTGCCGCCGCACGCCGCCGCCATGCCTGTGAGTGCGCCGCGCCGCCGCCATCCCGCGGTCCTCCCGCACCGAGCGTCCGCGGGCCGGGAGGGGCAGCACGGGTCGGGAGGAGCGGGGCGGGGGCGGGAAAGCCGCGGGGGGGCCGGGCGGGGCAGGGCTGGCCGCCATCTCGTCGGGCGCGGGGGCGCAAGATGGCGGCGGGCACTGAGCGCTGTGCTCGCAGCTGGCCAAGGACCTCCTGCACCCCTCCCCGGAGGAGGAGAAGCGCAAGCACAAGAAGAAGCGCCTGGTGCAGAGCCCCAACTCCTACTTCATGGACGTCAAGTGCCCAGGTGAGGGAAGGGCGCCCGGCGCTCCCCGGCTCGTCCCGCCGGCCCGGCCCGCCGCCCGACTCCCCGCTTCTCTCCCGCAGGCTGCTATAAAATCACCACCGTGTTCAGCCACGCGCAGACCGTCGTGCTCTGCGTCGGCTGCTCCACCGTGCTGTGCCAGCCCACGGGCGGCAAGGCGCGTCTCACAGAAGGTGGGTGAGCGCCGGCTGCTCCGGTCCCCGTACCCGACGCGCTCCCCGTGAAGCCTCGCTGCTCTGCCGGCCCGAGCGGAGGATGCCGACAGGCCGGCAGCTCGGGGCTCGCAGCAGCCGCGCTGCTCACCGCTCCGTTCTCCCCTCCTTCCCCCCCCCCAGGATGCTCGTTCCGAAGAAAGCAGCATTAAAGCCGCGGCGCCGGGATGGCCGGGGCTGCACACACGGCGGCCGCACGGCACGGAGCCCCGGGGGGCATCCCGGCAGTGTGAGCTGTGCTGTCCCTGCAGCCCCCCCCATCTTGCTGTCAATAAATTTTGGATAAAACAGTCGAATTGGTTTTATTGCTCGTGAAGGGAGGGAGGTGGGGCTGTTGGCTTCTGCCGAGCTGCCGAACTGCCTCCACCTTCTTTCAACGGCCAACAGCCGACCTGCGTGCTTCAGCCCAACAGATGAGGGGGGGAGCTGGGTGCTGCCCTCCCCCCACTCACAACACAGCAGCTCCACGCGGTACGAGGGCGCTCAGATTCAGTTCTGCACGCTCCACAGCCCCAGCTGCGTCCTCCTGCCTCCCTGCGTGGGGCCGGGGGGGTGGAAAACGCCTGCGTGGGAAATAAAAGGGCTGCACCCCACGTCCACAGAACCACACCAAGGTCGGAAAAGAGCTACGAGGCCATGGGGTCCAATGCCCTGCTCTGACCCCTCAAAGTCCCCACAGCTTTGGAGCTTTTCCTCCAGGGCTGGTAATGAAGTCCCTGCGCTGCTCCGATCCCGTGGTGGGGATGTGAGCCCAGCACTGAGCTGACTGCAGGGCACTCACCTGCCTGAGGCACAGCCGTGTTGGGCGCATAAACGAGGGGCACAGCCTGCAGCCTGGCCAGGAAGGCGTTGCATGCTGCCAAAACAGAACCCGGTCAGCACCGTGCCCTCAAAGCTGCCTTAAGAGCTGCCAAAAAGCAGGAGGGGTGGGGGGAAAACGAAGGGAGGAGGAGAGGGACGGGGATGGGCCGAAGGATGCAGGTGTTAATTAGTGGATTACAGAGCTCTGCGCTTACCGAGGTAAGTAACAGCTGTGGATCCCAGGACGGCAAAGAGAGTGAAGAGGAGGATCTGGAAGGAGCTCGCGAGCTGCCGGTGAATTCCCACCGCGCCGCGCTGCCCTGAGGCGCAAAGAGAGGGGAGGTGAGGCACGCGCGGACAGCAGCTCTGAGAGCTTCCCCCGGCGGCCTGCGAGGGGCAGCACCTCGGGATCAGCGTTGCACCGGGACGGCAGCGGTAAATCGGGCCGAATCGCGGCACCGCAAACGGGGCCCCGATTGATCCAGAAGCGGGCGCTCACCCGGGGGCTGCTCCGCCGCGACGGCTCTGGATGTGACCACGTCCCTTTGGCCGGTGAGAGGACAAGAGACGGTGATGGAGACCGGCGGCCCCTGGCGGAGGGAGCTGAAGTCGAGCACACGCACGGCGTAATGCACGAGCCCGGGCTTGTCGGAAAAGAACTCGGGAGGCGCCACTGCCAAGGCTGGAGAGCTGGACTGAACCTGGCCACAGAGAAACAGCGTCAGCCGCCGCGGCTGCTGCCGAATGCAGGAATGCTTTCAGAGCCAAGGGATGAACGACAGAGCCGGACTGGGCTCAGCAGCCGTGCTGCACGTCCCCGCGGTGGCTGCGCATTTCTGCCCTCAGGAACGGAGACAGAAGAGCAAAGCTTTTCTCCATACCTCCAGTTGTTCCAGGACTTGCTCGGCTCCCAGCACGCTCAGCACGGCGCTCGGCTGCGTGCTGCTGAAGGCTAATTCTGAGTGACCGAGGGAGAAGGCAGGGAGGAAAGGAACCAGGATGCTCTGTGTGTCGCTGCTGAGAGAAACCAGGACGTGCACAGAGGCGTCGGTTGTGCTGAGCGCCCGCAGGGCTTCCCTGGGCTGCGGTTTAGCGGTGATGACGCAGACATAGAGACCTGCGTGGCAGACAGGATTCACAGAATGGCCAGGGCTGGAAGGGACCTCAAGGATGATGAATCTCCAACCTCCCTGCCACATGCAGGGCCACCAACCTCCACGGTTAATGCTAAACCAGGCTGCCCAGGGCCCCATCCAACCTGGCCTTGAACACCTCCAAGGACGGGGCATCCACAGCCTCTCTGGGCAGCTGTTCCAGCACCTCACCGCTCTCTGGGTAAAGAATTTCCCCCTGATGTCCGACCTCAGCCTCCCCTCCCTCAACTTAAAACCACTTCCCCTCGTCCTACACATATCAACCCTGTCAAAGAGTTGATTCCCCTCCCCTCTGTAGGCTCCCTTTAGGTATTGAAAGGCTGAATTCGCAACAGAACAAAACCAGAGCGGCAGAACGAAGCGCCGCGTTCTGAGGTCACCTCACCTTCCTGGGTGCTGAACTCGGAGCTCACGTGGAAGACGTCCCCCGCTGCAACGCCCTCCACGCCGCTGCTGAACTTCAGCTGGCACCGCAGGTGGGACTGAGGGACCAAACGCTGCCTGATGGCACCGACCTGAGCGGAGCTGCAGGAGCCTGCGGGGAGAACGCAGGGCTGAATCCATCAGCCTCTCACCCTCAGCAAAACAAGGCCAAGTTTGCCCCACACACAAAGCAGCGCCGGTCGGGTTTCGCCATCGGAATCCCCTGCTCTGGTGCTTCCAGAGGCAGCTCCTACCTTGGAGGGTTTCTCTCCCGCTGCCCGTGGCAATGAGAAGGCGGAACGCAGAGGAATTGGGAGCGTTGGTTAAAAAGCTTTTCTGAGCAGCCTGGAGATGTAAGCGGGACGAGGCATCGACTGCCACCTGAAAGATGCAGAACAGACACCGAGTCACACGGCTTTTTTCTGTTATCCCACACAACTCTCCTAGCTGGATAATTGAAGACTGCTCTAAAGGACACTGAGAGCACGGTGAAACACCTTCAGTGGAAATGAGAACCCAGCCCTCCTCGCTTTGTTTCCAGCTGGCCCTTCGCTTGCCGTTTTGTCGCCAGGAGTTTCAGAGCAACTCCGAGCCTGGCTGTCAGTCCCTGCTCTAACAGTGCCCACCTCCAGGGACTGCGTGCATCTCAGCAGCACAGCGCTGCAGGGAACAGCTGAGCTGCTGCTTTTCCTCTTGAGAACAACAGCATCAACACACACAGACCTGGTGTGCAGGAGCGGGCTGCCCCTCTCATAGGACGGCCTGGGATGCAAGGGAGCACAAGGGCCATCAGCTCCAACCCTCTGCTGTGTGCAGCCCAGGCTGCCCTGAGAACCCATAGGGTGCCATATGGATCCATAGGGTGCCACAGGGATCCATAGGGTGCCATAGGGATCACAGGGTGCCATAAGGATCCATAGGGTGCCACAGGGATCACAGGGTGCCATAAGGATCCATTGGGTGCCACAGGGATCACAGGGTGCCATAAGGATCCATAGGGTGCCACAGGGATCCATAGGGTGCCATAGGGATCACAGGGTGCCATAAGGATCCATAGGGTGCCACAGGGATCCATAGGGTGCCATAGGGATCACAGGGTGCCATATGGATCCATAGGGTGCCACAGGGATCCATAGGGTGCCATAAGGATCCATAGGGTGCCACAGGGATCCATAGGGTGCCATAAGGATCCATTGGGTGCCACAGGGATCCATAGGGTGCCATAGGGATCACAGGGTGCCATATGGATCCATAGGGAGCCACAGGGATCCATAGGGTGCCACAGGGATCACAGGGTGCCATATGGATCCATAGGGTGTCATAGGGATCCATAGGGTGCCATAAGGATCCATTGGGTGCCACAGGGATCACAGGGTGCCATAAGGATCCATAGGGTGCCATAGGGATCCATAGAATCATGGACTCATCGAATGGCCTGGGTTGAAAAAGAGCACAACAGCCATCAGTTCCAACCCCCTGCTGTGTGCAGGTCTCCAACCAGCAGCCCAGGCTGCCCAGAGAACCCGCAGGGTGCCATAAGGATCCATAGGGTGCCACAGGGATCCATGGGGTGCCATAGGGACCCAAAGAATCATTGACTCATAGATGGCCTGGGTTGCAAAGGAGCACAATGTTCACCTCATTCCAACCCCCTGCTGTGTGCAGGGTCACCAACCAGCAGCGCAGGCTGCCCTGAGAACCCATAGGGTGCCATAGGGTGCCATAGGGACCTGTAGGGTGCCATAGGGACCCATAGAATCACTGACTCATTGAATGCCCTGGGTTGCAAAGGCCCACAGCGGCCATCAGCTCCAACCCTGCTGTGTGCAGGGTCACCAACCAGCAGCCCAGGCTGCCCAGAGCCACATCCAGCCTGGCCTCCAATGCCTGCAGGGCTGGGGCATCCACAGCCTCCTTGGGCAACCTGTGCCAGCGCCTCACCGCCCTCTGTGCAGGCTGCTCTGTGCCCTGTGGAATGGTGCTAAATACCTCTCTGTGTGTCTTCACAATCCCTGGGATATCAAGGAAGACAAGAGCAGTTCCAGAGCTCCTCGCTAACGCTGCTCCACTCATGCTGTCTATGATCAGCACGGAGGGGGGGGAAACGTGCCACGTCCCCGGGTCACCTGCAAACATTGGGCTGCAAGTTGGCTGCACTGCATGGCGGCTTCAGTCAGAGCCCCTGCAGGGCTGAGGAGCTGCGTTCAGCCAGCAGTGAGCACCACAAATCTCTTCCCGTGCATCTCTGGAGCTCCTACAGAGCTCTGCTCCTTGTAGGCCTCCTCAGGGCAGCTCCTTCCCAGCACTGCCCAGCTAAAGACACCACAGCAGTGCCTGCTAATTCAGAGGGCTTCATTCACCTCAATAAATCAGGACCATAAACTGGAAGGTTAAGTTTGGGGTTCAGCAAGTAGGAAGAATGCTCAAGTGAACTTGAACGGAACGGGAGAAAGCTGCCTGCATTCCTTGGGAGGCTCCCTGCTTCTTCTGATTCTAAAAATGCCATCAGAGACTTCATTCACCATGCAGCTCTGATTAGCCAGTGACAAAGGCACAGAGGCAGGCCTGCCGCCCCATTACGCAGGAGCACTTAAGGAAGGCTTTGTTCCAGCACCACTGAGTTGCCCGGGGCGGCCCGTCCTCTGAGTGTGTATAAAACAGCCATTCTGAAGTTGGGGAAAAAGGGAAAAATGCTCTTTTTGTGTTAAAGATCATAAAATCGGGCCCACGCTTCAACTCCAAAGAGGCGAGGAAGTGAAGCCCTCCTGCAAACAGGAGGCTGTGAGCATCAGGGATGCGTGCAGCTCCATCCCCACCCCGAGGCACAGCTCCCATCCCAGGGAAGATTCAAGGCTTCACAACTCTCAGAGGCGTCCCATTAAAACCCCACCAGCCCAGCCTTCCTCTGCTCCTGCACACAAAGCAGCCCAGCTACAGCAAAAAGCACACAAACCTTCCTGGCTGACGAGGGGTGAGCTGAAACAGACAACATCTCCTACTGCGAGGGCCCCAGGCAGCTCTGGCTCGATGGCACACTGCACGGGCACAGGGATGCAGTCCACCAGCCCTGGCTGCCTCCTGTCCTGCACAGTCAGGAGCGTCAATCCTCTGCTCACGGCCTGAGCAACGTAGCTGTGATTCTGATTTGCGGGTCTAATGAGCAGCAAGTCGTCTCTGCAAACAGAGAGGGAAGTGCTGCAAGTCACCCCTGCAAGGCAGGTTGTCTCCTGCTGTTTGTTTCCCACACGTTGCCGCGGAATTTCCCCTCTATTCAGCACTGGTGAGGCCGCACCTCGAGTGCTGCGTCCAGTTTTGGGCC